AGTCTTTAGTGAAATTGGTTGTTCAGGCTCAGGCGCCATGCGGTTTTGTGCCAATCGGTGCGATATCCATATTCAGGGAAGTCGAACAACCCTTCTGGACCAGTCCCCAGACAAATTAACTTTCTGACCCGATTTTCGAAAACTGGGCTAGAAATAGGTAAATATTCGGCGTTTTTGAGCGTTCCTCGAAGGTTGTAGGGGCAGTTATCATGTGAAACACATCTACGCTCCAGGTTCAATTCTGTGCAGACACTAGCAAAGAGTGGTGAAAATTCGAGAAGTTTACCGAGACTACCGCTCTGATCGAAAGTACTGTATCATTGAGGATCTATGTACTGTATACTTACCAACATTGCAGATGTACCAACGGCCATGGGTACGGTACGAAGGCTTGGATCGTCACGCATTTCCACTGCAGCAAAATAGGCATCCATATCGATATGAACACAGTCTCGCCGGAGATCACGGTGACACTCCAATCGCGCCGCCAACTCGTCCATCTGAAGCGTGTTGATTGTTACACTGTACAAGATTCTTTCTAACGTTTTTGTTATTGCACCATAAATGTTATACGTTCGCTGATTACCATGAAACGCTCATGTTCGCTCCAGTGCACCGAATTCTGTTAATTACCTCTTTCTCAGCTCTGGACCACTCAGCTGGTGATACTGCTTGTAAACGTTTTTTGATTGATTCGGTCTTCTCGTTGATCCGATCCTGTTGCTTCTTCGAGAAATTCGAGTAATTACCACTGGTGTTCGACTCGATTATCTTATTTATTCGCTCTTTATCCAGCCCGGCCATTCCGGCTTTGTTATCGTTGAAGGTCAACATCTGGAAGTCAGGGTTGGTGGGAAGCTGGATGCTTAGATGAAATAGTACCCTTTCCTATGAAATTTTTACAGTCTTGTGCGATGCGAATAATGGAGCGTGCCAGTGACATTGGGTTTGGCCCACTGCCAAGCGTTTCCACCATCTTTGAAGCGGATAAGCGACAACAACCGGTGGAAAACGACTGCTACAAACGAAATGATACGGTTCTGTCGCTTGCCGAAAGGAGAAAAAAAGGAAAACTCCGGCTAGCGCCGCGCCAGACCTCCTCCCTTGACAAGCCCCATAATCCGCAGCGAACAAGACTGTAATAACAGCAACTGTTGGAAGATCCTATTAAGCAAGACAGATAAAAAATAGTAAGAATTAAGTGATCATGAACAGAGCTGAAGGAGGTGCAAAAGGCCCGGATAGCGCATACATGGTCCCGGGTCGTATTTTGTAAACAAACAAAGCTTATGGACTCTACAAGACCGCTAAATCAGGCCTGCTTGGGAGGACTGAAACGCAGACCTAAACACACAACGGCCCAGCTCCACTGCACTAAGCCCAGAATACGTTTTTATCACGCTCAGGGTGGAGCATGAGCTGAAGTATATAGAACTGGTTGCATTCGGTAGCTGGCGAGAACTGGGAATTCCAGGAAAGAATGCGTTCTTTTGGAAAGAATGTATTAGTGTTTAAGCGATTCAGAGCAATGCATACTCCCTACAGAGTTGAAGGGTGAGCTCATTAGAAAATGGCTCTTTGAAGGGCGGGACGGGCTGGTACAGGGGCAACTGAATATTCTCTTGACTCGAACGTCCGGAAGCATAATGTCATCCGAGAGAAGATAGAAGGAGGAAAGGAAAAGAAAGGAAGAAGAAAATAGGAGAGGCTTGGCGGTTGACAGATATTTTGAAATCGTTGAAAGAGGTTCGTGCCAGAGGAAAAAGCCGAGTCATGCTTAACGATCAATTTTTCACATCGTTACGGTGTAGCCTGGGATAAATCGTCAACATGGGGCCAACTGAGCAGTGAGGGTTCTATAAAAAAAGGCGGAGAGAAATTCAACTCGCAGTGTTGATTGCGAAAAGGTCATAAAAAGCCTTATACGAGGTTGGACCCATGTAGGCCTCGTCGCAGACTACAAGCGAATAAAATAATCACAAAAGGTAGTTTTG